TGAGTTGTTTTTTCTAAATTAAAACCTCAGTATTCAGATTAAATTGCCGTGTTGGCACTTTGCGATAAATAAGTGGGTTTTAGGTTGCAGTTTGGCCACTCCGTCTCTAAAAGGTTCTCCATCAGTGGACTAGACTCTAGACTTTCTTCTGTTCACAATGTATTTGTTTCATTTAAAAAAAAATCTTTGTCATACAGCTTAATAAGTCTCTAATAGCTTGGTGACTAATTCTTCTCTTTTCTTTTCCAATGGAATAGCTAGCGGAACGATTAAAGTACTCTGACCCACGACTCCTGGAGAAGGCAGAGTATGAGATGGATTTGGAACCATATTGGTTCATTGAACTCAGAGCCCATTATCAACAGTGGGAGGTAAGAATTATGGGATGGTGTGCCTTTGCAGATGGATTGAGTTGTGATTTTGTGATTCTGGCCACTCAGATTGAATTAAATGATGCAACATCAACATGTTATAATAATAATAATAAAGTTGGAAGGGACCTTGGAGGTCATCGAGTCCAATCCCCTGCTCAAGCAGGAAACCCTATACCATTTTGGGCAAATGGCTGTCCAGTCTCTTCTTAAAAACTTCCAGTGTTGGAGCATTCACCGCTTCTGGAGGCAGGTTGTTCCATTGGTTAATTGTTCTAACTGTCAGGAAGTTTCTCCTTAGTTCTAGGTTGCTTCTCTCCTTGATCAGTTTCCATCCGTTGCTTCTTGTTTATAGATACCTCAAGGCAGTGAACTCAAGGCATTTAATATTCTTTCCTTGCCCTATTTTCTCCACAAAAATAACCCTGGGAGGTGGGTCAGGCTGAGAGAGTGTGACTGGCCCAAAGTCACTCAGTTGGCTCTCCTGGTTACAGAGACCATTTGATGGTCAGGGAAAAGTATTTTTATTTTTTCAAACATAGGCATGAAAGTCAAGATCTGGGTCTACCAAATATCTGACTTTATAGGTTTTCTGTTTTCTATTTAATTGTCATTTATTGAATGTATTACTTTTAAACTGAGTTGGAGTTCAGTATTCTGGGGCAGGCAGACTTAAAATTTAGGGTATTTTTTAAAAATTGAATCTACATACTACAATACCTAGCTGACTGACAGATTAAAAAAAAAGCAAAGTGGGACCAGACCTAATTAATACTTTGATGGGAGCCAGCCAGAAAGTCTCAGGACTATAGGTTAGAGATGATAGTCAAAGTGGCAAACTGCTTTTGTATTGTTGCCCAAAAAAGCCTCATGGATGGGTCCATTTGGTCACCAGGAATCTAGTTCAACTCAAAGAACTGACTGATGCTTTTTCAACATTTGTAAGGACTGAAGCTGAGGAGGTGGGAATTTACTGATTCTCAGGCCAGTCAGAACTGTCATGTAAGCATTGAATACATATCCTTCATTCTCAAGGCTAGGAAGAGGATGACAAAACTTCCACTGACTTAAAAAGGCAGGAGAAAAAGATCTAAAATTTAAACCCTGGAATAGATACACACTAGTTAGATACATAGAAACACACACACACACAGGCAAACCAAGCCTGATCAATTTCTGTATTCTAACTTGACTACAATAATTTATCTAGCCACGTTTTATCTATGAAACTTATTCTGTAAATAACTTCCTACTCCTGAATATGGGGTTAGATTTCTGGTGAGCTAAGATTTATTGCCATGCCTGGTGTGAAATTTAACTATCTATAAGCTTCTCCAACTGAAGCCAATTATTTTGATAGTGGTTCAGATTGGCATCTACATATATTTTATGTTCACTACAATGGAGCTCTATAGTGAAATGTAATCCTATGCAGTGAATAGGGGAAGGAGGAGTCAATTCTTTATACAGTATTTGTGGTAAGGAAGAACCTGTCCCAAGAAAAAAGCAGGCAGAGTTAGTTGGGGAGAGAAGCAATTCATATATTTATTTAAATATAAATCAGCTAAAGAATTGTTTAACTAAAAGTCTCAGGGTTTTAAAATATGAAAAGAAAAATAGGAGTTGGAACTCTTAACCATTCTGCAGTGTTAACAGGCTGCATAAGTAGCACTTCAGTCATGTGAAGTCCTATAATTTGCAGATGGATTTGATTTTAATAGCACTGCTTGGAAACAGGTTCCACAATGGCCATCAACCAGAATGCAAGAGAAGGGTAAAATTAGACGTGCACTATCATTTATGGTATGGAGGCTAAGATGGTGCAGATTGTTAAATGTCTGACCTTTTCTGCTGCCACTGGTTAAGGGGATTAGTTTCTCTTGAGAAAATTTGATGAACTTTGGGTGCCCAAGAAATCCACAAGACAGATTGTGCAGTGGTGGGATTCAAAAATGTGAACACCGGTTCTCTGTGTGGATGCTGCTGTTTTTATTTTAATAAGGGGTATACAAATTGAAGAAGCTTGGAGCTTTTTAAAAGCAAGATTATTAAAGAGGCTGGTAGAAGTTTGCTAAAAAGCATAGCCATCCAAACAAATCTACAAAGGATGGGTGCAAAATTTTTTGCCAGGTCTGATAGCAATTTTTTCTGGTCCCAAGACTACTGCAGCCAAACTATTCATATCTTATTTTTTAATAAAAGGGTTTGGAAAGGGAGTTCTGGAGAGGTTTAAAACTGATTTTAGGGGTTCATTCCTTAAACTCTCTCTTCCCAAACTTTCATAATCAATCCTGGAGCAAATCACCTTTATAGTATGTCATAAGGCTTGATGCATCCCTAAAAGTTGCCCATTCTTGTTACAGAGGACATTGCCCACTCTTTGTCCAATCCTGTTACAGAAGGAAAGCAGACAAAAAGTTTGGTTCAACAAACTTTATTCCCCAGTCACAAGAACATACAGTAATTTAACTGAAGGACTTTAAAAGTACTTTTGTGGGAAGGGACATGTACATGGGTCATTTAGAATGTCACGCTAAAATTGCTGAATGTTACAGATATAAATAAAGAGGCCACAGCTGCATTCTAAAGTGAGAATACATGCAATACATAATGAGGATTTTTTTGGGGGGGGAGAACCAGTTGCAAGCTTGATGATTCTGCCAAATCATGAGAAGTGTCTTGGAGACCAACAGCTGTGCTGTTGGGTTTAAAGCTGATATAAAAACTAAAGAAAATGGATTTTCAGAAGTTGTCTAAAAAAGCTTCCAGAGTGCGCATTGTCTCCAACTGACTACAACAACTTTGGCAGCAAGAAATTAGGCTGCCTAGGAGTATTTTATAGATACTACTCAGCACAGAGGCAAAGAAAGTAAATGGGCAAAGAAGCATCTGTTGAAATAATATGTTTATGAGAAAAAACAACATAGAGTCTTGCAAGGAAAAAGAAACCATAAAGATTCTTTCAATAAACTACAGCTTAAAGAAAGAATTTTTGCCTAGGCAGTTCAGCTGGCCAGAATATCAAACCCGTTACTGTCAAAATAAAAGCAGAATTGGAAAAGAGGGCTCAGTATGTAGTAACTAAATGATTGTAGCAAACTAATGCATGCCAAGAAGATGTGCATGTACTTACAACTTTAAAAAACTGTACAAAGTCATGAAAAGAGAGAAACATATTCTTGTCAATAGAAGCAGCATTCTTCAATGATTTGCAAAAGCCTGCCGGTAGATTAGGCTCATCTTAGGCTGACTTATATCATTTGGTAGAATTTTCTTTAAAAGACAAACAGGAATTTTTAGGTCTCTTGGGTTGTTACAATGGAAAACATCTATATCATTTGAAAGATATTTTGATTTTCAGGAAAGGCAAAGGAAAGGCAACTTAGTCTAAAGCCTAAGTCAATGGAGTTGACTGAGATTGCCCAAAGTTTTAGGTCCTGTAAAAGCTGTAACTTTCAAATAGAACAAGCATAATATAAATTCCTCTGATGCTTGGAAGAGTTTACATACTTGGGATATTGCAGAAATGAATATAAAATGAGCCCACATCCAAATAAAGTGGAAGCTATTTTAAGAATAAACTCCTCTACTACCTTTAATTGAAGTAGGGAGATTCAGGGCATGGTGCAATATTTTGAAAGATTTCTACTTTTAACTGAAGACTTTACCAAGCTAACTTTAAATATACTGCTCAAAATATATCATTTGATGGTGGGGACAGATGCAAGATAAAGCTTTTAGAAGTGTCAGCAGCCCTGTTATTGGTATTCTACAATGTCAACCAGCATCCTATTATTATAATTCCCAACAATAGCAGCTATGAAATAGGAGGAGGAATGCTCCAAAAACTTAAAGGGGAGCTGAAGTCAATAACCTTTTCTAAAACATTTACATATCCAGAAACACAATATGCCCAAATTGAAGGCAATGTTTCATGGGGGCGTGGAATCCTTAGAGCTATATGCAGACTAAAAGGAATTGGTTTTCCATGATAAGTTGCAGTTATTTAAATTGGTTTGGATACCAATGAGAGACCAGAGTCTTGTCCTTGAAATATTGTAACCCTCATACTGAATATATAGCGGCATGTATTTTATCTTGGCATCTGCTAAAATTTGTAATCCAGATTTACTGAAACTTTCAGAAGAAATGGATGGTTGCTTTTATATTCTTTTATTTGTTAATGTATCTGGATCAGCGATTGCAGTAAAGAATGTAGATATGTATGTATGCTTCTGTGCATGCAGTGTTTTGAATTGTTTGGAGAAATGTAACTGCACATAATAAGAGCTGCCACTGTTTATAAACTGAGTGGGGAAAAAGTGGTCCAAGTGGCAAAATGAATTTCTAATAGACACATACATACAGACCATATTGTACATATAATATATAATAAAAGTAGTCCTAACCTATATGACATTGGGTTCCCAGGATCTCAAATGTATATCAAATTAGATGACCAGAACAGAAGGTCAGATCAAGCCATGCAGGAAACAAAGTCCTATGTCTCAATTTCATTAATTAATTAATTAATTAATTAATTAATTAATTAATTCATTCATTCATTCATAAGATTTATAAACTGCTTTGCTCCAGAGGGGGTAGGTGGAGTGACATCAGATTAATTTTAAAAAGCAGCAATCTTTTTATTTTCAGGAATTTCCAGAAACATGGTCAAACTGGATAAGTTTGTCAGCAGCCACAAATGCAGAATTTGAACTAATATCAAAGGATGTCAATGTTCAACCTTTATCATCAGTTTCAGGTTCCTTGTCTTCAAATAGGAAACCCAGGACTGTAGAGGCAAAGTGATTCAAAAGCCAATACAAGTAGAAACTGCTTTGTATAGCTAGAAATAGCAACCTTGTATGGAGTAGACTAGGGGTCTTCAAACTTGGCCCTTGTATGACTTGTGGACTTCAACTCCTAGAATTCCTCAGCCAGGCACACTGGCTGAGGAATTCTGGGAGTTGAAGTCCACAAGTCATACAAGGGCCAAGTTTGAAGACCCCTGGAGTAGACTAATCCCCATATAGGGGGTAGAATAATCCCCAGGTACTATTTAGTGCTCTGTTTCCTACCTCAGAGGTAGGAAATTGAAATTATTAGCATTGTGTATCTAATTCCTTGGGCAGTGTATTTTATTTCCCAATGACTTATTCTTTATATTTTCTTTGCATTTAATGTTTTAAACAGTATTAGCCACTGTGAGTTGTTTGGCAAGCAGGCAGCTATATCCCTGGAATGAATAAGTAACTAAATAAACAAATAGATAAAGATGTTATTCTGACTTGTTGAAATTGAGGGTTTTATACTGGGAGTTTCTGTTTTGCCCTTTCTTACCTGTGCCCCAGAGCTTACACCATTATCAGGATTTGGATTTTATGTGTGTTTTCTCTCATATCTAATTTAAGGATCAAAGAGGGTTTCCCAACACTACATCCACCCAGCTAGAGGTTTGCAGAGGCAATGGATCAATATCAGGTAAAAGAATGAAAGAACAAATTGTGGCAGATGTACCCAGAAGGTGTATTCTTTCAAACTCTTTCAAGTTTGATTTGAAAACTGAGTTGGTTTCAAGTATACATGTCACTTGGAAAAAGGGATTTAGATCGAAAGTCTGCAGTTGTAATTGCATATGTATTTGTTTAGGAATGTATCTTATTGAATCAGTAAGCATCTCTCTTATTGAGAGATGGAAGGAAACACAATGAAATTCATAAGACTATACTTTTCTCCTCTTTAGTCATACTGTGACCCCTATAAAGCCTTCTAAAAACAATAACTTTTAGCCATGGCTTTTTGGGGGGGTCAGGGGAGATGAGGAGAATTGTGGCCCAATGCATGACAGTATAAAGAAGGTTGCTTCTAAAAAGAATGAATCTGCTTTTTGGAATCTAATTCTGTTCTTCCTCTCTTTTCTACAACTCTTTCAGAGAGCCGTTTGCTTTTTTTTAAGTACATCCATCAGTTTTGCATAGTGGCACTATATCTGAGAATTATTGGTGGAAGAGATAATCCTATTTGCAGTCTGATTTTAGACATGCTTTCTAGAAATTTCAGCAGTTAGGGTTACAAATTATAGTTACAAGGCCAATCTTCTTTTAAATTAACCCATTTAAGAATGTCATTTTTTAACCTTAATAAGACCATTAGTTCCTCGCCTCTTTTCCTGATCTATCAATTGGGAATAATACTAATATTCAGACTTGGATTATCAGGTTTAGCTCCTCATTTTGAATCTGAACAAGCTGAGGTATGCTGGGAGAATCTACAGCATCAGCCTTATACACACCTGTCACCTGTTAATTCAACTGGGCACCAACCAGATGTGGATCAACAGCTGCATATCTGTTCTGGACATGGATATCCTTCAGAGAGGACACCTGCTAGTTTAGAGGCTTGTTTAGCAGAAAATGACCACAGTTCCACTTTGTCTTCAAGAGGCCTTTCAAATGATCCTTCCTCACATCTGAAACAACCATCAGGTAAAGATGGGTGCTTCTGCAGTAGTTATCCATGATGTTCTGTGAGTTGAATTTAATTGTAAAGAACAATAGGCCACCCTTACTGTTTATTCCTATTGCACTTTATTCTCCTCTAGTGGAGTGCAAGGACATTGGGGGCAGAGAGTGAAGAAACTACTGAAGGAAACAAATATATTTAATCTAGAAAAATACAGTATATCAAAATAAAGTCTATATCTATCTGTCTGTCTGTCTGTCTGTCTGTCTGTCTGTCTATTTAGTAGTGGAGTATATACTACTTAAGGAAGGCACAAAAGAAGAGGAATAATTGTTCATTCAAGAGTAGAACACAAGACAACCAAAGAATTTTAAATAGAATTTCAGGTTTAAGTACATTTGATAAACCACGATATTCTCCCTTTCCTGACTGTAATGATCTAAAAATAATTAAATTAGACAAGTGAAATTCTACACTTAAAACGCAATTCAGATAACTAATTTCAGGCCTACAGTATCTCTTTTGGCAAATATTGTTGTTGTTTTTTTATTATTATTATTTTTCTTTTTTTTTTTCTTTTAAAATTTTTTATTATTTTCAAATATAACAAAATATAAACATAAACTTGATGCATATGAATACAGGATATCAGTACACAAAAGAAAAGATACTTTACGGATAGTCCCGGCTGCCCCCTCTCTGCTTCCCCCTCTTTCACCTACCACCTTCCTCCCACTAACTCTCAACCACTCCACCTTCCTCCCCACCCCCTACTTCCCAACCTCTTTCTCAAGCACCAGCCGGAAGCAGTTTGGGGTAACAGCCAGGATTGTCCTCATAAATATACTTCCAAAATAATTAATAAACACATCAAATCTTATATATTTTTATCCTTTTCCCCCCTCCCCCCCCGGACTTCCCAGAGCTAAACCCAGGAATAATTACAAAATAATTTTAATCTATCCAAAGCCATCCACTCATACAATAAACAAATATAAACTTACTATAACTCTAAAATGCAATAATAAACTTATAAAAATTAAATAATTAATCAAAAGCAAGATGATAGTTTCTCAATTCATATTTTTTCTGAATATAATCTATCCATCTTCTCCATATCAGGATAAATGTCTCTTGTGAGTGATCCTTCAGGTATGCGGATATTTTAGCCATTTCTGCAAAATATGAGACTTTCTGTCTCCAATCATCCATAGTTGGAA